ACTCGTAAACTTACGTAGTTTTATAACGTAATACTCTGAAATATTACAAAAATCGTAAATCTACGGAATATTACGCCGCATTTAAATTCCAGATGTAGAAAAATATTTGCAATATTTTACACAGCCCATTTTGGAAAAGTTTAGTCTGCATAATTAATCGATTAAGAAGTTAATTTTAGATTCATATTCACTTTTAAAAAGGATTTTTCTCATGGTAGATTACTTGGAAATTAAATTTGAATGAAATTTCCTGATATAGAAATAGATTAATACATCACGATTGAAAATCAGATCGACATGATTAAATCACAAAACGTAGAATAATATTTATTAAGAATGATCAATGACAAAAACTCTATCTCAGACACAATTACCAGCCCAATCCAACAAATTCACCTAATCAAAAAACATATCGAAAACAAAATAACCCAAAAAAAATCTAACCAAAAGAGAAATACAAATCTGCCACCAAGTCCTATCCACATCAAAAATAATCCTTCCCTCTAAAACATCCTTGTAATATAACCATTCCTGCAAGTTTGTAGCCCGTTGATTTAGATTTTGGATCTCTAAGAAATTCAGACCTCGCAATAATTCTTCTTCACAATCTCTCAGAAGTAAAATTGTATTATCCTTATCTTTTAATTCTTCACGAAGTACTTGTGAACTTTGATGAACTTCAAGTAATTCATCAGCAAGAAGCCTCTTTTACTCTTCTAAGCGAAGGGAAAAGTGAAAATGAGTAAGCTGTTCTTGAAGATTTTCTGTTTTTCTTTCAATACAAAAGCTTCTATTTCGTTCAAGTTTCTTTTGAATAGCAATTTTTGAAGGCATTTTGAAATGATTTAATTTTAAAGAAATAGAAATTTTGATAAAATTTATTTGATGTAGATCAATGTATGACAAGTAGTTTTTATATGACTAGAAGTCCCATAATTTCAAAGGTTATTAAATTTTGGTCCTATATAAATTTATCACAAACTTTAATTATAACCGTTAAAAGTTCTGAGATAGATCTGATTTTAAGATCTAGTCTAATTATTATGGAATACTACTATCAACACCTAAGTCTTTGAAGGGGGATCTGGCTGTAAAGCCTAGTTTAATTACCGTGGACTACATATTTTTATAAAATATATAAAAATCTAGTAAAAATTTTGGAAATTAGAAGGAAATTTTGAGAACAAAAATTATTTCTCATCACGTTCGAAATTAAAATGAAAGGAGAATTGTTACTGGCTAAAAATTCACTATTGAAAAGTTGATCTACAAAGAATTATTAAATGATTTACAGAAGTTACTGAAATTAATTTTATGTC